AGGCGCGCCAGGCACTCGAGGCAGAAGACGTGGCCGCAGTCCAGGCGCTTGGGCAGCTTGAAGGCGCCGTCGAAGGACGACACGCAGATGAGGCACTCGGTGGGGGACGCGGGGGACAGCATGGGGCCGACGCTGGGGCTGTCGTCCTGCTCCTCCCCGTCGTCTTCTGTGCCGCCCTGGGGGGTACGCGGGCGGCGGAGCCAGGGTGGCCGAGGACACGGCATGGGAACCGTCTACGAGGCCCTGGGCAGTGGAAAAGGACGACCCGGGACCCCCAGGAGCCTGGGCACAGAGAAAGATGCACTAAGGAGCAGAATAGTCTAAGACAGCAAGGAGCTGGAAGGTGAGAAGACGCCAGTGAGCTAAGAAGTTAGGAAGACACCGGGAAAGAACAATGCCAGCTAGATAGGGATCCGGAGAGCTCGTGGAAAGGACAGGAACCCAGCAAGGGTGCAAGGCCCGGCCCGCTGCCCGTACCTGGCAAATCCTCCGGTCTGCAGCCGGTTCCCTGTTGTGATCCGACTGCCTAGGGAGGCCCAGTATCTATGTCCCTCCCTGGGGTGGGGGCCTGGCTGGGGCCGCCGCCCCCAGGCACCTGTGGAACCCGTCGGGCCACCCTCCACCCAGGGCGAGCACCAGTCTGACTAGGAGGATGACGGGGGCGCCTGTTAGTGACTGTAAGGTAGAGGGTGGGAGCCTCTCTTCATGAGGGAAACTTGTGCAGTGGAGGGCCTGCTGGGTCTGGGGTGCGGCCGTGTACTCAGGCAGGCAGCCTGCAGGGGCCAGGGCAACTGCAGAATAAGGCTGGCAGCCACCAGGCCTGTTTCCTTCACCTAGGGATGGGTCCAAGGAATGCCCTCAGGAACGCCCCAAGACCCTGTGCAGTCCATACCAATGTGCCAGACCCCCAGGGAGGCACTCCACCCTGTGCATTCCTGGTGCCTTCTGGACAGGAGGGCTTTCAACTGCATCCACCTCTAGACCCATCACAGCTCCCACGATCCAACAGCTGTACCCGGAGGTAAGCATCCCTAAGACTTTCAGACCCCCCACCCCTCACAGACAACACAGCAAATGGCAGGGATGCCCCATGGGCACAGTTTATTGGGCAGCAGCTGGGAACTCAGCGGTTGGACTTGGCCACACGCTCCAGCTCATCCTTCTTCTTGATGGCATAGGAGTTAGAAGAGCCCTGCAAGGAGACAGGTGTCACTTCTAAGTGGTGGATAAACCCCCATGCCCACCCCAAAACTCAACCCCCCCACCGACCTTGGCAGCATTAATGAGCTCATCTGCCAGGCACTCAGCAATGGTCTTGATGTTCCGGAAGGCAGCTTCCCGAGCACCTGTACACAGCAGCCAGATGGCCTGCAGAGCACCGGGCAAGGATAAACCAGCTAGACTGAGATCCTCCAGCACCTGGCCCAACCTCAACAATGCCAGCTAAACATGTCATCCCAGCCAAACTGGGCAAGTTTGGTAAGGGGGAGCTGACATCCTCCTAGATCCCTCTGTCCCAACCTGCCAAGTATACTACCACACCAAGATGCGAAAGATCTTCACCAAACTTGCTTGCTCTTACACTATTCAAGTGGTTAAGAGAATCTTCAGAATGGAAGCTTAGATGGGCCAAGAAGAAAGAGTATCCCCAGCAAAGTCCCTCCCATTTTACAGAATGTAAACCACTTGCTAAAAATAGGACAAAACCGAGTTGGGTGGGGGGGTGTTAAGAGCCTGGATGGCACAGGGTGGGAATCCAGGAAGCTTTCCTGGAGGAAGTGAGGCTCCAGGTAAAACATGTACCAGGAATGGATGAACCTATCTGCCCAGATGGGATTCCACCCAGCCCTAGTGGCTGTTCCTGCCCTGCTCCCCACGCAGGCCCCAGACCCACCTGATTCACCCGGCGCAGTGGGGACACATCCACTGCCTGTCGCCTCACTGTACCCGCTCGCCCAATGCGTGTGGAGTCTTCCCGGGGGCCACTGTTGATGATGGCGTTCACCAGGACCTGCAGAGGGTTCTGGCAGAGAAGGGGCTGTGAGCAGGCGATACACCAACACCAGTGTGTGTGCTGGGTATCTGGCAGGTGTTAAGGCCCAGCCTCCACCCCAAGCCCTACCTCGCCGGTGAGCAGGTGGATGATCTCGAAAGCATGCTTGACGATGCGCACGGTCATGAGCTTCTTGCCATTGTTGCGGCCGTGCATCATCATGGAGTTAGTGAGCCGCTCCACAATGGGGCACTGTGCTTTGCGGAAGCGCTTGGCAGCATAGCGTCCCGCACTGTGGGGCAGGTACTTGGCATACTTCTCCTTCACAGCAATGTAATCCTGGACAGGTGGAGGGGCACTGTCAGGAACAGGCTGGGCTCTGCCAGGGACGGACCTAGCATTCCACAAGGGGGCCCCAGCTGCCCACAACCCCACTCTGCCAACCCAGGGGACACAAATGTGAATCCCACTTGCCAGGTCACTAACAGGAACACGCTGTTGGTAGAGAAGTAAGGAATGTGACTCCACATTTTATAATGTTCCCTTAACTACACTCTGAACACCTGGGAGCAGACTATAGTACCCACCACAGGATGTTAGCAGCATCCCCCTGTTTTTGTAGCGCCAGGGACTGCACCCAGAGCCTTCCCACTGAGCCGTATCACCAGCCCTTTAAAATAAAATTTTTTTTGGGGGGGGGCAGGGATTTAGCTCAGTGGCACTGTGCCTGCCTAGCAAGCTCAAGGTCTGAGTATGATCCCTGATACCAGGGGGGAATATTTTGTTTTTTAGGTTTTTACGAGACAGGGCCTTCTAATTCAAGCAACCCTCTTGCCTCAACCTCTCTCAAGTGCTAGGATCACAGACATGTGCCACCATGTCTGGCTTTTTTGTTGTTTTTTTTGTACTGGAATTGAATTCAGGACCTTGCACTTGCTAGGGTTGTGTCACTGACCTAAATTCCGAGCCCTTTCCTTTTTCAATTTTTTGAGAGAGTCTGACTAATATTCCCAGGCTGGGCCCACACTTCAGCCTCCTGATTCACTGGGATTATAGGAGTGTGTGCCTGACACCCTCAGTTTTGACAACTAAAGTGTTTCTACATACTGCAGAATGTCCATTATAGAGGGGAACCACTCCCTCACACTGACGGCCAGTATTTTGAAAGAAAATGTCTAGAAAAAAATGCCAAAATGTTAACCTTGAAGATGAAAAAAAGATGGAATCAAAGGAGCTATGTGTACCAAGGGGACTGCTGTTGATCATCCCACCAGAGGAGCTGAGGCCACTGTATCATTTGCATGTGAGAATGTACACAAGCAAGCAGGACATAGTGGTGCATGCTTTTAATCCCAGCAATCTAGGAGGCTGAGGAAGGAGAACTGCAAGATGAAGCCCAGCCTGGGTAACTTGGCAAAATTCAGCCTAAAAAATAAAAAGGTATGATGGTACAACTGTTACCTTGCACTTTAGGAGGCTGAAGCAAGTGGATTACAAGGATCCAGACTAGCCCAGGCAACTTAGCAAGACCATCTCAAATGGACACACACACACACACACAGTCATTATTTGAATTACATGGAACAATGGGAAAACAGCACAGCTGTCCAACATCCACCCTAGAAAGAAGTTAGGGTACCAGTTCACTGTGAGAACTCTAGGGCCACATTGCCTTTTAAATTCCAGCCCTGACAGCAGAGCAGGAACAGCAAAAATTATGCTTACATTTTTAAAAGGTTGTACCAAAAACAGAATACACAACTGATTCATGAATAAGACCCACTGTGACCTGTGATGCCTGAAACATTTACTATTTGGTCCCTTAATGAAGTTTGGGCATGGAATCTGCAGGTAAGTGGTAGAGTGTATACCTAGCATGTGTGAGGTCCTGGTTCCACCATCACCACCAAAAAAAAGTTTGCAGACCTCCCCAAACAAAACTATGAAAGAAAAATAAATATCTGACATTCAGAATGAATACGCCTGACTTGTCCTTTAGGTATAGTTCATAACTCCTGCGGTATCTCTAGAGGCAACAAAATATATATATTTTTTGGCACCAGGGATTGAACTCAGGCCCATGCACTTGTGAGGCAGGCAGTGGAACCTCTGAGCCAAATCCCCAGCCCAACAAATATTTTCATTCTTTTTAAAACAAAGGGAACCAAGCATGGTGGGGCAGGCCTGTAATCCCAGCATGAGAGGCTCAGGCAGGAAAGGAAGATCCCAGCAGAATTGGAGGCTAGACTGAACTACATATCGTAGTGGGACCTTACCTCTAATAAATACAAAAAGAGTAAATAAAAAAAATCTCATTTATATTTGTATATAAACATAAAAGAACAAAATACAACATTTAATAAAAGGAGGGGTAGCCTCAGTGCTTGGGAGGCCAAGACAGGAGGATCAATCCAAGTTCAAGGCCAGCCTATCTCAAATAGGAGTGTGGGGGGGGGGCTGGTGACAATAAAAGCAGTAGTTCCTGGGGCTGGGGATTTAGCTCTGTGGCACTGTGCCTGACTTGTAAGCAAAAGGTCCTGAGGTTTTTTTTTTTTTGGTTATTTGAGACAGGGTCTCACTATGTAGTTGAGACTGACCTAGAACTCACTGTGTAGCCCAGGCTAGTCTCGAACTCACAGCGATCCTCTTGCCTCAGCCTCCCAAGTGCTGGGATTACAGGAGTGCACCACCACGCCCAGCAAAAGGTCCTGAATTTGACCTCAATACCAGAAAACAAAACAAAACAAAAAGCAACAGTTCCTAAAGTCCATGAAACTCATGAAGCTCTGGTAGGAAGAAAAATTTTTCTGTAAATGAGTACGGGAGCAAGAATAAAGCAGGTGTGGTGACACATGCCTGTAATCCCAGCACTATGGGAGGTTGAAGCAGGATCAAAAGGAGCCCAGTCTGTGCACACGAGTGACTTAGGAAACCCTGTCTCAAAAAGGGGGATGTAACTCAGTGGGAAGAACCTGGGTTCAAAACCCACTCCCCAGCAGAAGCACTCACACTTACTGATTTTAAAACTTTACACAGTAATCAAGACTCTGCTACTGGCATAAATGTAAGACACAGAGACCAATGGGATAGAATTCAAAATTCAGAAGGGCCAGGGATTTAGCTCAGTGGTGTCCCTGTCTACCTCACAAGTGCAAGGTCTTGAGTTCAATCCCTGGTACCGCCCCCCAAAGATATGTAGGTAGGTATTGTGGCACATACCTGTAATCCCAGCATACTAGGGGGCTGAGGCTGGAGGATCAAGTTTGAGCCCAGCTCAGGAAACTTTAGTCAGTGAGAGGACATCTCAAAAACAGAAAAGGGCTAGGGGTGCAGCTCAGAAGGAAAGCTCTAAGTTCAGGGCTCAGTAGAGGGTAAGGGTAAGAAGTAGATGGATGTGCAAGTCCAGCGATCTCCCTCCTTTTCCTGTCATCGCTTCAACTGCTGACTTATTGGGACAACTAAAACTTTCCCCTCCTGGAAGAACCTACATTTTCCAGGGGGAAGACCTTAACATCCTGCTCACCTGCAGGGAAATGTCATTTATCTGTACATCATCAGTGCTCCACTTCCCAAAGAGCTTGATGTCAGGGGTCTCGGCTACCGCCGGTGCAGCTGTCTCCCACTCGGTCATCCTAGAGGGGGTGAGGGAAGGGAGAAATGGTCAGAGCCCAGCTAGCTCTCAACACAGGCAGCCCCTCCCCACTCCCAGGCAGAAGCCTTTTTGTGGACTAGGGTGAGTGTGAGTGAGCGTCTTTCCCAGCTCCAGGAAAACCACTCAGCATAAGCAACGCGTCTCTCACCAGGACCCGGGCTGCCCAGGGCCTGGTGGTGGCCCTGTTAGCAACTGCTGCGCGGAAACCGCTATAACGGCTCTGACACTGATGTAAATACCGAGACATCACACCGGCCAGGAACCTAATCCCAGGCGAGAAAAACTTCTGAATGCGGCTTTCTCAAACGCAGGGTAGTCCTGCTGCCTGGCACCAGCACCACACCAATTCTGCGGTGACCGATGCAAAGAACTGCACCTTGGCCCGACACTAGGGGCTGCTACTGAGAAGAAAAAGTGTACGCGGTAACGCGTGCGTTATGGAACTCAGGAGCCAGAAACTTCCCATCCCAGTGCAGGGCTGAAGTGCCCAAACTAATGTGCGGAGCCGCGCGGAGCAGCAAAGCTGCAGAGAGACGAGTACAGCAGGAACCAAAAGACTGACCTCTGTTCGCGCCCTCTTCTGCGCACCCTTTTTCTGGAAGAAGAGGTAAAGGCCCAAAACGGAAAAGCCCCGGCCCAGGGGTTCACCACGTCTCCCCGGGGTTCCTCGCGTACCGCGGAGCCCGGACCCCTCGGAAGGCTCACCTGAGGGTGCCGCCGGATCTCCTTGATCGGACAGCTTGAACCACGCGTAGCCCTGGCAGAGACAGGAAGAGGCCACGCACTGTGGGCCGACGCCTTTAAGGAGAGTGAAAGCTTCCGGGTCAGAGACGCCAAGGCGCGCGCAAGGTCATCAGTGTTCGACTACCAATCCGGGACGAAAATGAAAGGCTCACGTACGCGCACGTCTCACGCGCATGCGCACTTGAGGAGGCCTGTAATAATACTTGCCCATCCAGTAAAACTTCGATCAAGCGCAGAGACGTCTGGGAAGTTACCTCCGCCATGTCTAGTAAGGTCAAAAGACAGGCCCTTGCGTTAGATTTTGGCTGCTGACCGCCAGCAGCGGGCTCGATCCAGAGCAGTCTGTTCTGCACCTTCTCGTTCTCCTCCGCGGTCACGGCTGCCTCGTGGGCCCGCAGTGCGGGCCTGGGTTGGAGAGAGGCCCGGTGGCCACGACTGCCCTCCGGTGGTCCCCCCCCATCGCTCCGCGACCCCCACCTCTGTCCAGACGTCGCAGGCGGGATGGACGAGAGCCGGGTTCTTGGCGGTGGGAGGAGGATATGACCCATCTCTGAGTGGAGAACCTGGAAAAGAGCAGGGCTGGCCGGCTGGGACCCTTCTGCAACCCCCGACGGTGCCCATCCCGGGGAAAGAGCCGGGTTCTTGGCGGTGGGAGGAGGATATGACCCATCTCTGAGTGGAGAACCTGGAAAAGAGCAGGGCTGGCCGGCTGGGACCCTTCTGCAACCCCCGACGGTGCCCATCCCGGGGAATCCCAAGACTGCAGACCTTGCTCCCAGGAGCTCTGGGCCGGGTGGCCTCTGCATTTTCAACTGAAGGCTGAGAGGAAGAGGATGGCCGATACGGCTATGAGATAGAAATATGTTCCCCGCACGGGCCTCTCTCCACCCCCAGCGGCTCTGAGAATGGCCTCTATGAATGGGTCAAGTGGGGAGTGGGGCACAAGTCCTCAGCCGTCTCAGTAAGGAACTTTCCTTTACTGGGATGGTCTGGGAGACACCTCCCTCCCCAAACCTGCTTCCCCTTTCAGCATGGAAGTGAGGACCCACTCCAGTAGGGCTGGTTTGCAGCATGTGGGTTAGCTTGATAATGGACATCTTCATAGACCTCACAAGGTGGCAGAGGGCAGAGGAAAGGTCCTGGACATGGCTCATAGGTGGGGAGATAGAGAATACTGCATAGATTATTTGCAAGACCCTTTGACAAGCCAGGGGTGTCCACCTTTCCCAGGCCCCCAGGAAGTTGGAACAGAACCCAGGGTCTTACTCCATATGTCTAGGGCTGCTGGTGTTTTCTTCAGATGATTAGGGCCCCACAGTTTCTAAGTAGGGACCCCTGGCCCCTCATGTCCACTCTGGGCTGACCAGCCCAGCCCAGCTTCCTCACCTCCTGGAACACAGCCACACACTGACAGGCAGCCACTTTCCAATCCACTCTTACAGCTATCTGCTCTGGCATCCTCAATGGTTTCTCATTCTCCTTGTTAGCACTTTGGATGTCTCAAAATCATCAGCCTGATTTTCAGCCAGTTAGCGTGTGGAGTGTGGATGTGCTCAGCTCCACCAAGTGCTAGACAAGGTCTTACACCCATAGTTGACCCATCGTGGTCCATTCTGGCGTGGCCACCTTCTGCTCTTGTTATACTCAATCATGACAGATTATAGAGGATTGCCACACTGAGCCAAGCTTGCATCCTTTACTGCCGGCAATGGAGAGTGAATCACACTCGAAAAACTCTCAACAAAAAGCAGCTTACTTGTTTCTTTTAAGCGGCTCTTCTAATTGGGGAGCACTCAGGAAGAGAGGGAGCACGAATAGAATTTCACAGGAGCAGAATTTTGCTAAGTTAGTGGGGGTCGGGAAGTTTTGCACAGTTTAGTAGAAACAAAATATCACACCACTATTCTGTTTACAAGGCTGTAAAGAAAGCATAGTTGCAGACTGCTCTAACAAATGGGTTGCAGTCATCAACCAAGGGGACTCCCAAGAAAGGAGGGGGAGGCAAAGCCTATAATCACTCCACTTTACATGAAATGGGGGAGTGGCGATGAGGCACAAAATGGAATCAGGTTGGCCATCACACTGTCACAGAATGCTCACCTGTAGTGGATTGAATAATGGTCCCCAAAAAGGTATGTCCATGGTGTAATACCCGGATCCTGAATGTGGCCTTATTAGAAAAAGGGTTCTTTACAGATTTTATTTTTAGCATCTTTCTGTGTGTTTGTTTTGTTGAAACAGTCTTGCTGTGTAGTCCAATATTGGAGGCTGATCAATCCTCCAACGACCTAGAAAGGGGGATGGTGAGGTCTAAAGAACAAAAGTAAAGATGTGTGTAATTTTTTAAAGACTTGTGTAATTTCAAAGTATATGGGGAGCCAGGAGGTCAGTGCCTCAGAGCGGGCAAGGACCAAGACTCTCTGCACTAGCCATCATTGATTGGGTACACACAATAATTGGAGGGAGTATCGGGTGATTTAGAGCTGTGGTGACCCTGTGTCCATGGGAAGCTCATGCTGATGAGAGTGGCAAGGGGAAAATTCCCACAACAGTAGTTGGGATGAGTTAATCTGATAAGGAATATTTCCCTGCCAAGGTGAAACCTTTCTCTTTTTGTAGTACTGCTTGGTTCCCAAAGAACCTGGATGTCTTCAGCTGCTGTAATCTTGTCCTTGAACTCCACAGTGTCTTGGGCTCACTGAGGCCTCAGTTTGAACGAAGTTGTGTTTCTTCATGCCCTGGCTGGCTCATGGGCAAGGCAGCATTAAGCCTTACACAGCTGTGGTCGTACTTTAACTAGGAAATTATTTTTCCCAAAAATTTATGTAGAATAGCCCTTGACAGTCCAGGCTGTTTTGGAACTCACTGTGATCCGCCTGGCTCAGTCTCCCAAGTGCTGGAATTAAATTAGTTCAGGATGTTAAAATGAGATTATCCTATATTACTAGGGTGGGTCTTGAATCCAGTGACAAGTGAACCGGATGTGGCACATGCCTGTCTGTGATCCCAGCACTTTGGGAGGCTGAAGCAAGAGGATCACACGTTTTTAGGGTTTTTTTGTTTTTGTTTTTGTTTTTTGAGGCAAGGTCTTGCTATGTAGTTTAGACTGGTCCTGAGCACACTGTGTAGCCCAGGCTGGCCTTGAATTCATGGTGATCGTCCTACTTCAGCCTCTTGAGTGCTGGGATTATGGGTATGTGCCACCACACCCGGCAGGATCACAAATTTAAATCCTACCTGGACAATTTAGACCCTATCTCAAAAAAAAAAAAAAATGAGTGGACGTATAGTTCAGTGTGAAAGCCTGGCCTCCTGGCCACCATGTAGGCCCCTCCCTGATTCCACGTGACCTAATGGATAGCTAGAAGTCAGATCGTTACCTTTCAGAAGAAACTAAGAAGATAGACATGCCATTTGCATACTCATGAAGGCTGGAGGGGTGAAATAACTTATCCAGTGTGACACAGCAAAGGAGGGTGAGGTTGGGACTCTAAGGTGCCCGGGCTGAGTGTGACCTGTCCCACCTGTGGTGGCCACTGCGCTGTATCTGTGCCGAGCTGAACCCATGATCTTCAGTTGAACCTTTCCTCTGGCTCTGGGGTGACTCAGAAAAGACTTCCCCCTGAATCTCCCCCCTCTTTGGGGGAAACACTACCCACCCCATAATCTTGCAGTGACTTAACAATCGTCAGAGAGCTGGCCTGGACCCCAGGCCTCCGGGATAGAGAAACAAAGGTGTGAAAGAACAACACATGTGCTCACTGCAGGGTGGCCACTGTCTCCCTTCCTGGCCTGTCAGAGGGCTCTGTGCAGAGGTTGACTGCACAGCAGCCTGAACACTGTCCTCACCGGGCCTCCAGCAGTGAAATGCTTGCCCCAACTTGTAGGAAGAATTCTGGTCCCAAAGCAGTGACAGGTGCCCAGGTCTGCCCACCTGCTAGGTGGCCTGGCAATGCCCCCTCCCAAGTTCCCAGTTTGCTAAGCTATAAATCAGGACTGTGTGTTATCTGGGTGAGAGAGGGAGAGTGTACTTGGTGGGGTGGGGACAGTGGGTAGCATCTAGTCTCTCCTCACTTGGGGAATGCGGGGTAAAGAATAGAGGAGGCTAGGGGGGTGGCTCAGTGCTAGGGTGCTTGCTCAGTGTGTACAAGGTCCTAGGATTGAAACACACACACACACACACACAGCCTGCAGCAACTATGGGCACTGAAGTCTGCATGTTCCTAAGATCTGAACGTAAGGTACAAGAGGCTATGGCCCTTTTCTTTCTTTCTTTCTTTTTTTTTTGGTACTGGGGATTGAATTCGGGTCCTTGCACTTGCAAGGCAGGCCACCGAACCGCTGAGCTAAATCCCCAGCCCTGGCCCTTTTCAACTTAACATGAGAACTATAAATGTTTAGATCAAAACTCCAAGGGGTTCCAGGGTGCTTCCATGGTTTAAGGGTTTTATAAAGCCCATCCAGCCCCTCCTTGGAAGCACACTCAAAATTCTCCCTCATGTGTTCATTTGGCTGGAGCCAATCTCTCACCAGCCCAGGAAGACAGGATCCTTCCCAGTTAGATGGTGGGCACCTGTATGTCCATGCCTCCCTCTCACTACCTGCCACCATCACTGGCAAGTTGCACAACCTCCCGCAACCTTAGTTAATTTTCTTTTCTTTTTTTTTTTTTCTTGGTACCAGGGATTGAATTCAGGACCTTGCTCTTTTGAGGCAGGCAGCAGCACCACTGAGCTAAATTCCTGGCCCTAATTTTCTTTCTTTGTTTCTTTCTTTTTTTTTTTTTCTTTTGTACCAGGGATCAAACTTGGAACCTTGCACTTGCGGGACAGGCAGTGGAGCCACTGAGTTTAAATCCCTGGCTAATTTTCTTTTATGACCTATTTATTTAGCAGTACTAGGGACTGAACCCATTAGCCATGCTCCCTCTCCTGCTTTGCCTGCTCTGGCCGTTTCTCAGAAACAGAACCTTAAGATTTGTGCTCTTTTCTCTCTGGCTTTTTTCACTAAGGTGGAGCCCAGTCCCACCTTGCCCAACCTCAGTCCTTCGTGGATGATCTTTGC